CGTCTCTAACGCAATGACCGAAGGTCCCGGGTTCAAATCTCGGGGGTGCCAGTATATATATATATATATATATATATATATATATATATACTGTTATAACTTGACCGGCATCGGCCTGGCTGCCGGTCACCCGTTGGGGACCTCTGATCCACATGAACTTTGTTTAGTTCGGAAGCCTATTGGATCGGTGTTCGCACATTCCTGAGTGAATAAATATATCTATATATATATGGTGGATTTATCACATTCACCGACAGAGTAAATTTGATTGCAAGCAAAACGCCTCCATGGGTTTTAAACCAGGGTACATTACTCATTGAACAGAACTTACCGCCTGGTAGAGTGTAAGCAGAGACCGACTGTGAGGGCGCAGAGCAAAAGCTCCAATCGAAACAGGCGATAACGGTGACCGTATAGGGTGTGTTAGGCTGAAGATCTGAGATTGGACAAGAAAGCTTCTCTGCTCGGCCTGAAGTGCTGCAGTTCTTTACTTCATGGCCATCCGAAGTTCGTGCCTGGACAATGTACCTGTACACTTCGTCAGTGTCTTCAGGTGACTTATTCCATATCACCGTAAAGCCAGTCGACGCCACATCATCGACTGTGAGTGTTTCCACGCCTGAAATTTACAAAACAGATTTAGATTGCATCGTGCATGTGTGATTTCGAAGAGCTTGGCAACACGAAGGAAGGCTACCCCCTAAAGCAACCTGCTATAAACAATACTGTGCAGGAAAGAGAAACAAAATATTTCGGTGCAAGGGATCTGCAAGACCTGCTCGACGACATAATTGTGCTACAATACTTTTGATTTAGAGATCTTAGTTTTCACTGGCGCCTTGGAGGCAGGTGAGCCCCATTTCAAATGCAGTGTGCTTGGGCGACTGTAGGGTCATTCTGTAGTTCACTGACTCCCATTAGCAAAGGACTTCACAGAAGTAAGACTTCATCGTACAGACGCTTAATGGCAAAATACTCCCAACCAAAGTGTCTCACGGAATTCGTGGTTAAGGTTTAGTGCTTGATAATTGCCTAGTAAATGCGTGTTTAATGCGCGAGAAATGCATAGTTGGAAGTGAATTAAAGCCGTATGTGATTGTCTGTTAAACTGGAAACTTAGCCCAAAAGGTTGCGGTAAGGACAAAAAGGACTGAAAAGGGAGCCTATAGACCAAGGAAACTATTAGAGCAATTCCCCTTGGCTAGGACCATCAAGAAATCGTTCGATGGACGGAAATTCGGTCTACTGACATTGTGTAAGTAGTCTGTTTTATTAGCAATACCTTCCTCCGGTGTCCCACCATGAGCTCCTACCCAGGGAGGTTTTCTCGCGGTTGTTTACACATAAAAGCACACATTTATTGCATTAAACTACAGATAACTGTAGACATTGCGCCTTACCAGTAGGTTTCGTTTTCACCTCGACGGAGAGCGAAGGCATGCTGCAGCGTCCGGGCGCGGCACAGGCTTTTGCCACGACACTGTAGACACTGTTTGGCTTCAGACCGTATACGGCGCAGGCGAGGTCTTTGCTGCCCGCAGAAACCGTGCAGTATTGGACGGCCACTGAGGCAGCTGCCCGTGTGCTACTCATAATCCGGTAATAGTAGTCATTTTTCACGCCCTCCTCGGAGTGGCTTAGAGTTACGAGGAAACTGGTGCATTGGACGTCTGAGACCGCAACTTGATCGGGCACTAGAAGTTAAAGGAGCAGATTAAAATGAAACTGAACTAGATCCTAGGACCAGCAAAAATGGATTTGGCGTAATGGGAAACCTAGATGTAAAATGGACGTTCACCGGCCTTAAAATATAAAGTTAGAATCACCTCACAAAGTCACATAGAAATTAGTGCATATGCGCTGCGAAGACCAACATTCACCAGGGATACATTTATATGTATTTCTAGTTTGGTAGTCGTTTATAGTAATCCACGCCTTACTTCTACTTTTCTAAAGGACCCGGGACATGGACTCGGACTCCTTGTTAGTTAGGCTTGATAATGCATAGGTCCTGCTTCCTATTAAAGAACCTTTAACTCATCTTTGTAGAAAATTGATTTAGCTACCATCAGGCTGCGTGGACGTGCTTTGACCGTACGTGAGGTTCTACTTATAAGGAAAACGGTTAACTACATTGGAGGCCTTTGAACAACGCGTATTCGGGGTCAGGTGACATTCTGTTGCTCTTGTGAATCGTTTAAAGTCTAACAGAACTGCACTTCGTTGTGGTTTATATTTTCGATTAAACAGCCTGTGAACAAAAAAAAACTACATAAGATAACAGCTAAATTCCGCAACACATTTATATCACTGAGCGAGCTTTCATTTCCGAGAAGCCGGCAATATCTCTTGATGTAAGTATATAGTCAAATACAGTTCACGTCTACAAGAGTTATAGGATAAATTTACAGTCCTACTGATATCATAAAATAAGCAAGCAATCCATTTGAAGAAAGCGATAATTTCCCAAAGTTACGTAGCCACATATTTTCCGTTTTGATCAGATAAAAGCCTACAATTAAATCGATTCTTTTGCAAAATTGTCGCATATACTGCTGAATAACAAGTATAAATGAACAGCCAAGGGAAGACCATAAGTCAGGCCGCATGACACTCAGTATGCATATCTAAGACGGTAGAGGCTGCTTAATGTTATGGGTTCGTTGTCGAGGCTGAATTATAGGGTATAAAAACATATTACTGAAGTTCATTAAATAGTAAAGAAATAAGCACCTGATAATCCACCGGATAACGAGTTATCATCCCGCGAGATGTTTACACAAACATAAGTAGTAGTATTTATAATTAAAGTTGACATCCTTGGGGGGCCATACATGAAGAACTGACTTTGAAGTGGGCCGTGTACGAGCACTCTTTAAGAATAACTAGCATTCCATATTTAACGCTTCCACAGACATGTGTCGAATGGTGATTTACCTGTTTAAAGGTGACAAACCCATGGTGTTCAGTGTCAATAAAAGTACAGAACGCTTAGTGCTGACTACTAAGTACAAGCTGGAGCAAAACTAACTGGGGACCTACCACTGGGTGGTGTAAGTACATCCACTGGAGATGTAGGCAGACCACAGTAGTTGATATGGGCACAGGACTGCACGGTGACCTTGTAGGGTGTGTTCGGCTCCAATGCTGAAACCAAACAGGATTGGCTGTTCGAGATGCAGGTGCTGACATTAGCACCGGTCGCGGGGGACACAGCAACCACGTAGGTGTACTGTTTTTTAACGTCCGCTTTAGTAGGACTCCAGGAAACCTGCACGGCTGTGGCGCTCTCGTAGAACGCTGTGACGTCTAGGGGCGCTGAAAAAGCAGAAAGTTATTTGTATTTTTTTGTCAAAAATACAGACCGCGAAGTGTTTAGTCTGAAACAGTTTGGTTTTTCTAGCAATAAATACTTTTTACAAAGCCAGTATTAAAAGGACAGGCGCCGCAGTAAGCAAACTCACCAGTTGGCCACGTTTGTGCCTTCACAATCTCCGAGGCAATCTCACAAGTGGCATCGGGATAGGCTGTGTCACAGTTGAATAATTGCAACTCGTACGCAGTATCCGGCAGAAGAGCATCTGCCTCGCAGGCGTAGTCGACGGTCTGCATACGGTGTGTGCAGTAGGTTATGATGTCTGTATCTAGTTGCACCTGGAAGAACCGGTTTGGATGTTTGGCCTTTGATTCCCACGTCACTTTCAGACCGGTGGGGCTGAGGATCTCAACGTACAGGTTGTCCTTTTCTACAGGTGAAAGGACAGGAGATAAGCAAAAAGAGAGAAGCGCAAGAAAGAGCACGCAGCTGAACATCAGAAATAATACTTAAAAGGTCGGCGTCAATCACGGCTTAAAGCCTGAGGCCGTAAAGCTTCTCACAAAGCGTTAAAATGTGCTTAAATGGTTGGAGGTTTTTGAAAACACCAAAAAACATGTTATGAGAAGGAAGTGTAAGAATAAGGTTGAATTATTTTATTGAAGTCCTTGCACAAAATGGACACCCTATTGATGTTTTATGTCGGCGCATGAGACTTCTGAATAATCGACAATCAGGGGTCAACCCGAACTTATAACACCTTATGTACCGACCACTCAGATAACTATAAACCTATTATTTTATTTATTTGAGTAGAAATTTTAGTTTACGTTAAAAATGAATAGTGGAAATGCAGTGAACGTACTAAACGCTGGTAGTGTCGCACCTTTTTAACATGTATTATTCATCAGTATTTTCATGCATACTAGTACCGTTCAAATAGGAAATTAAGGATTTCAGTCAATTTTCTCCAAATAAACATCTGTGGAATTACCAACCTGGAGATAGTGTTCTGATGTGAACAGATTCCGAGTGTTTGCTGCAGAGACTCAGCGTGTTGCAGGCCATCACGCTGATATTGTAGTCCGAATTAGGTAGGAGACTGGTGATGTTACAGGTGAAGGTGCCTTCACCGACTTTCACCTCACACGTATGCAACCCACCCGTGGTCGCATTCAGGGGGTCTGCTTGTACCACGTACATGTATTGAGACGCCTTGCTGTCCTCCACAGAGGGTGTCCAGACGACAACAGCGGTTTTCGAGGTCAGTTTCGTGGTGCGGACGTCCAGAGGAGCTGTATTAGGGGTGGAGGGAGACGGAGAAAAAGAATAAACATAATATGTGGGTGACAATGGTATTACCGACAAACACAGAACACATCCACGAAGGCCTTTTATACCTCATTGGGCGTAATCAGGTGGTGGTAGCCCAACTCCAGTGAGCAGCTGAAATTGCCGCCATACACGAGTTTAGAACTCGCGTCTCTA